AATTGAAGTGTTCGGACCGTCTTCAGGGGAAGCCCCATGTAAAGCGCGTTACAGAAGTCTAGGCGGGAAGTCACCAGTGCTTGTGTCACTGTCGCCAGGCAGTCGTACTCCAGGTAGGGGCACAGCTGATTAATCAGCCGAAGCTGAAGGAAGGCATTCCTCGCCACCGCTGTCACCTGAGCTTCCAAAGAAAGCTCCGGGTCGAGGAGTACTCCTAAGCTGCGGACCTTATCCCTAAGAGGGAGTGCTGTAACATGTCAACTATTCCCATTATAAAAATGGAATCAGAAATAAAACCCTGTGTGAAAAATAAGTGCCATGCATTTACACTCTGCAATTGGTCCATTGTGTGTAATTGGAAAGCTTGGGCCTCTGTGCTAAAGTAAGTTTTACTTTGTTGACTAAATGTCCAACTGAAGAACAATATATAAATACTGGTGTGTAACATAGCATAGCATACCATAAATCGAGAAATGGAAAATTAAAATTGAAGCATTCACTTCTCAGTATAGTTCCTTTCTAGTTAGGAATTTAGCCGATGTGTAAGAGTGTTCTTATCTACAGCAAGAGCTATTTTTGTTTCTTTTAATGTCAGACTGAAATTAATAACTGCTTCTCCAGTGTATGCATCCTTCAATTAGATGGCATTGTTTGAGCTCAGTTCAGTGTTAGCACGAAGGGTGTGATACATGGTAGCTGGCGCTGTTTAGTCATCTTGAATTCTAGCTAGTAATGTCATGTCTGTACATAACAAATCCTGGGCAGAAACCAAGCAACATTTTGGCAGGGTTTGCAATAGAATGACCTTCATTGCATGTGTAATGAGTGTACAGCATGAACATTGTCTTAGGGACAAAAAAGTGACCTGATGGAAGATGTTGAAATGAGATCTGATTCATTTGTTCCTGAAATGGTCTGTGGAGCTGCTATCCCACAGTGAAATCTGGCTGAAGGAACCATATGGATCCATTAAAGCACAACAGCTCCTTTCCATAGCAGTCATATCGGCTTAGCTGGACATAATGAGATCTCATAAAATCTCTGAATGGCAACCTTTAATTCAGTAATGTTTGCTATTTGGAGATGATAACTATTTATAGTGTCACAATAAATGGTTTGATATATATGGACATGCCAGTTCAAGAAACATGATGTTTGCAGCTTCTCATACTAGGTTCTTCTAGATTCTTCTGTTTATGAAATTATTCTAATAGTAAAGTTTCCTAATATCTGTGTACAACCATATTTGGGAATTGGCTGAAGGGAAACACAGACCAGGGAAAGTCAAACATACAACAATTAGCAGCATCCTGCTAGACTAATAATCCGTCCAAGTTGCTTTGAATGCTTTTTAACTTGTGTAGCCCAAGGAAGTAGACAGGTGGTTTGGAAGACTGAAGTCTACCAGCTTGCACCTTTGAGTCTTTCCATTCTGGTTAAAGCAAACATAAGGGCTCTGCACTTTGGTAGCTCTTTCAGAGATAGTGTCATCCATTTTCCTATAAATTAAACAGTAATGCAGCCTCTTCCAAAGAATGCCACTTTTGGGACTCAAGTACAAGTATCACTAGAGTAAGTAGTATCTTCTTAATGCTAGCTAATTTTTCACAATACTCATTATTTTGATCCATTCCACTACCTGCTATATAAACAATGGATCTGTTGATTCTCCTGACTCTCTTAGCAGCTTTTGATACTATTGATCATGTTGTAGCTTTCTGGGTCATCTTGCTGATGTTGATCTGGGAGGATTGTATTATGGCTACTGCCTACTCTGGAAGCTTGTTTCCAGAAGGAGGAATGGTGAGTGGGGAAACATCTGGCTTATGGGACACCTTAGGTCTCTGTGCTCTTCCACATGAAAGTGTTGGGTGACATTATCCAGGCTGACATTTAATCAGTATGATGATTAATTTCAGGGAGACATTTTATCTTGGAGTGCTGTATAGACCAGGGGATTATACCCAAGGACCTTCCTGTCTCCTTCCACTTCTACTATCCCATGTTCTGTGACATTCAGCTGAACCCCTTTCTTTCATTGGCCAGTCTCAGGGAGATGGTGGAAAATCTAAGCCAGTGCTTGGAAGCCATTTTAGGGCTGCAAGTGAGTAAAGAAGTTGTAACTTAATTAAGAGAAGACAGAAGTGAAGTTGCCTGGTATTTCTGCTGATTTCGGTGCAGGTGTGCAACCTGTTTCATTGTGGTGGCACAGTATTAGTATTTTCCTGAATCTATCACTGTCGTGATGGAGAACATTGCTCACTGGGAGTATCTGTGACCCACTTAGACTGACTCTTTTGCTTACTGAACTCTACCTAGGAAAGCAGATCTGGCCTCAACCTTTTAAACACTTATTACATCCAAACTAGACTATTGTTATGCTCTCTGCATAGTACTGCTTTTAAAGATATTCAGTAATTCAGTTTGGTCAAAATGTGGCTGCTAAGCTACTGGGAGGAGCAAGATAATGGATACTTATTACTGACACCATTAGTTAACAATTTGTTTCTTCAATCAGTTTGTTACATTGGCCAGAGACTTTAAAGATCATTTGAAGCAATTACCTTTACGTATATAAATCTTCTGAAGCCTGACATTTGTCTTTAGAGGCACTGCCCTACAGCTTGCACTAGCTAAGGTTAAATGATAAGGCCCTTTTTGATGTTGGCACTGAATTGTCTCCTCGGACATTTTTGTCATTCAACCATTCTCCCCATTTTAGATGGATTTTCAGAATATTTGGCTCACCATGACTGATTTTTATTGTTTTATGCTGATCCCTTGGAATTGATGCTGATCTTTCTATTCTTTTTCTGATTTGGATTGTGTTAATCATTTTATCTAATTTGTGAAATGCTTTGGAAAAATGTTATTTTAAATAGTATGACATAAATATGTATAATAATATTTATTTATTTATAGCTTTTATAGACTGTCCATCTACCGGTGTCTCAGGATGGTTTACAACTAGCCAGTTTACATAGGAAATAACCCACTATTACTTTTCCATTAAGTTGTGATTGAAGAAAAAAATTAGAGCTGCCTACTTGATCAACAGAATAATTATATATTCAAATTCCTTTACAAATTGTCTTTCATTAGTTGTGTGTTTTTACAGTTTTAATGTTGTAGCTGAAACTGTTTTTCTCCAACAGACTCTACCCCCTTTAGGAGTTTCACTTCCTGAGGTGCGTAATGTAAAAGTGTTCATAGATACATAAAAATTGTTTGGGTGTTGTGACATTTTAGGGCTGGTCTGATACTTTTGTTTTGAATATTTGTACTCAATATGGTGCTCTGAAAAGCAGAAGATGGACTCTTCTAAAATGATTTAAACAACATCCTTTTAAAAAAGGGTTTATTCCCTGCAGTGATCCAAAACAACTAAGCACAAAGATGTCTTGACTTGCAGACATTTCAGACCTCCATCCAGCATTGATGATAGGGCTAAACAGAACCAGTAAGCTATATTTTGGCCGGTTTTGAAATAAATCAGTTATGCTCCACCAAAGCTCAAATGTGGCACTCAGAATGAATAATGGAATCTACTCTGAGAATGTGCCAAGAAGATGAGAGTAGGCAGTTCTTTTTGTAGATGTTTCCTCTGCATTCTAAACACTTTGTCGTGGACAAGCTGAAGGCAAGTGTGGACCGCTGAGTCATTCTGTGCAACCCTATCTCATGTACCCTGAGACCTTTGGTGTGATGGACGCTTAGATTGCTTGGTACTCCAGAGACCTCTTAGAGGACATGGGCAGAGCTGGAGCAACCAAAGAAGACCTTGCCTTGTGTGTACTGAGGCCTCTAGCATGCTGGACAGCTCTAGGAGATTGCGTATGCCAGCTGTGCTGTGCTGCCACTCCTCATGCATTTGTGTAATGGGCCTGGACCCAATGGAAGAATAAAAAAATCCTCACTTCAGAAAATCTTTCATGCATTCCTGGATTCTGGTTTGCATGAAAAAGGCAGTTAGTAAAGTTAGGCTCCTGTTCTTCAGATCCTCATCACTACCCTCTTGGAAACGTTTGCCTTAGTTTCTAAAACGTGATGAGCTGCCTCAAATGCCCCTGATTTTCTCTTTTTTAAAAAAGGGAATTGAAATTTGTTTTGGTAATGTAGATAATTGGAAAGACAGAAGAGGTGGAAATATTACACGACTCTGGAGCTGTTCAGGAAAGGTGTGCTGGTGTTCAGAACTTGGCAACAAGAGAACATTTGTAGATGGATTTCCAAGGCAGCAAAAGATGGTGCACACAAATCTGCCTTAACAAATGTGGAAATCCATGGGCTTATAGAATTATCTATCCATATGATACTTTTGTCTTAACTGTGCCAAAACATACAAGCAGTGGGAGTAATAATGTGGCTGAACAAACTCTGTTCCTTGAACATATTTAGCAGGAATAGTTCAATAGAGTTTTTGTGGTGCAGTCACAGTATTTCTGCATGGTGCAGAAGTATCTGAGCACCAAGAATACAATGTGGATTCAGAAATAGGAGGATCCTGAGCAAATAGGAATTCCACTGATGTATTCTCTTATAAAATGTGTGACAGTCTATTGAATAATAGGATGAAAACAGTACTGCAAGATCAGCTCACAAGGGGAACAACCAGGAATCCAATGCTCTGTTGGGAATAAGCAATACTTGTTTGGATCATTTTTATTAGTCTAAAAGTTGATGGAAGAACAAAACAACTCAAATGTTGTGAGCCATCAAAATGTGCATTAACTTCTCAGTGTTGTATTGAGTAACTTTCACTCAGCATTCCCTATGTCCATGAGACAAAATGATTACAGTTGCATCAATCATTTTGTACGCCCTAATAAAATAGTCATAACTAAAACATATATGCCACCCAGAAAATAAATATCTGCATTTTGCAGTGTCATTTATTTTCTATAAGTGTCAGCTTCACATCCATTTTGATGTAAGAATATCACACAATCACTTCAATGTTTTATTCAATTTTTTAAAAGAAAGTGCTAAATGTGTTTTGATTTGCTTATTTTAATGTCTTGAAAATACTACTGTTCAGTAGTACTGCTAAAGGCTTACTTTAGTAATTCTGAGGTACTGCTAAATGCTAGACACACACACAGATTGTGTCCATATCACCCTTCTAAATCTTTTAATCCCTTTTTGTTCTAGTAGGTGCTTTGCACTTTTGGACTTAATGCAAAGCAGAAATTATTTGCCAGTGTCAAGTATTTGAAATGGCAAGTAAATTAAAACAAAACTTTTATGTGGAGAAAACCTGATACACTGTTAAAATTATATCAACTATGTCAGGATTTAATCATCTGGCAATATACAGGTTATATGAAAGCAGAACAGTGATTTAGGGATGCAAATAGGATGACTTTATGTGTTTATTATTGAAAATTTGAAATTGAAAATATCACCCAGTGTAAGCTGAAAAAAATATAATAAAGTAATAACACACTGGTATAATACTCCAGGGAAATGTAGGAAGATACTGGGAGTGAAAATGGTGGTGATGATGGTGGTGGTGGTGATGAAGATGATGATGAACTTTTGGAAAGAAATTGTCATGTGTACTTGAGACACTTTGGATTCTTTTGAGACAATTAAGAAACCCACTATATGAAAAACAAAATAAATATTTTGGCTTATCAGTCAGAATTGCCTATGTTTGTGGAAAGACTTGAAATGATGCTTTTGAATTTATTGGGAGTTTAAGTAAAAACTTGCTCTTATTTTAAACACTTTGGTTTATTTATAATTTCTTCTGTAAATTGCAGCTCGGTGCTTCTTGTTGTATATTCTGAACACTGAAGTAAATGGTAGCCAGACCACTTTCACCCAGTCTGTCCAAATAATGGGATATGGTGCCTACGTAGCTATAAGTAAGCCTACTCAGAATAGGAAATCTACTATTTTGAAAGAAAACCTTGCAAGGGACAATATACCATTGTGAATTCCACCCACACAATGTGAAGAAAAACACTAGGAGAAATTCTCTTATGTACAATACTTTTCCTCTATCCATGGTAAAATAGTAGCTGTCTGGAATTTGTTCTAAGCGGGAGAAAAATTTGGGGAGCTTGCTTCTTATTTAGCATAGACTGTTAAATGCCATCATAATTCCCTACCTGGCAGCAACAGTTCTTTTTCTCTGCTTTGAAAGCCCTGTTTTTAAAAGCTGCAAATAGTTCACAACAATTATCAGTATTATTTCTAGTTGCCTGAATTTTCAGGGAGAAGATTTCCTATGCTTATATGTTCTGTGCTCTGAGAAATTGTAATACCTGCATATTAGCTGGTTCCCCTTTAAAAAAAAACAGCAACACAACACTATCTATATTTCCATCATAGTCAGAATACTATTTGGCCTTTCCTTGTTCAAAGCAGGATTGAAGCGAAGCAAGTCAGCATGAGGTTTCATGGGTAGTGTTGCAGTGCAATCCTAACTCCCTCTGAGCAGAAAGGGCTAGGATGCTGTGCAGATCTTCCTTGGTCTACAGAGAGGAGCTTGACTAGCAAGGGAGGGAAGTCTGTCCATCTCCAAGGTCCTATTTATGCCTGTGGAAATCCCTGGGGATGCAAAGCTACTACCAGCAAAAGGCTCTGAATGGGGGTGGGGGTTCCAGGGCAGAGTGGGTCCTTCCCCATAAGGCCCTGCAATGTACATGAGTTTCAAGCTGACAAAGGTGTTTTATCTCCTATGGGAGTGGCTACAGCTGGGATGGTTCAGCTTAGAAAAAAAGGGAGTAAGGGGAGACATAATACAGGTATTTAAAAATGCCGAGTGTGGAGGAAATGGAAAGGGAAAGATTTTTCTGCCTCCCATAACACTCAAAACCAGGATCACCCCATGAAGCTGATTGGTGAGAGGTTTAGGACAGATAAAAGGAAATAATTTCTTTACTAAGTATTTAGTTAAACTATGGGATGTGCTGCCAAGGGAAGTGGTGATGTCCACCAATTCAGAAGGCTTTAAAAAGAGATTGGATAGATTCATGGAGGAGGAGGAGATGGTAGCAGCAGCGATCAAGCAACTACTAGCCTTGTTGGCTGTGTGCTCCCTCCTTTACCAGATGTGGCATGCCTGCATACACCAGCTGCTGGGGAGCTTGGGCAGGTCTTGCAGAGGGGTTCTACAGGTAGCTGGTTTGCCTCTGTGTATGTGGAGTGCTGACCGAGATGGGCCTTTTGTCTGATTCAGCACATGGCTCTTCTTATGTTCTTACGTCTTGCATGACTGACATCTGAGCTGAACTAATATAATGCACTGCATGGGGGACAGCCTGTGAAGATGTTCTCAGTTTTTCCCTAGATAATATTTTACAGGGCTATTCTGCTCTGTAGCTGCAATTCTGCTGTAGAATTTTAGGAATGTTTCATTGCTGCTGTCTTTTATTTTATGCATTTTTGCTCTCATATAAATTTTTATATGAGAGAATTTTAATCTTGGAAGCTGCCTTACTAGGGGAGGGTTTTGCCCAGAAAGTAGGCCTTGAAAGTAGACATAAAAAGATAAATTTTGCCAAATTGTATTATAGTAGTATTGCTCGAATCTCTAAGATTAGTGTCAGGAAGCTGAGGATGGGGAGGGATGCTAAAAAATAATTAAAAAAAAGAATGTGGGGGTGGGGGCTTCTTTGGCAAAGAATAAGATCAAGGAAAGGATAGGTCCTCTGCTTAGGATAGCTGGTGAATTGTTAACAGATGACAGAGAGAATGTGAACCTACTCAGCTCCTATTTTGCTGCAGGATTTTTCCACAAGGAGAATTGTGTTCAAATTGGGAAGTAAAATAAATGATATATGGAAAGGTTTGCAGCTCTGAATAAGTAAGGACATGGTTAGAGGGCATGTAGCTGCTTCAAATGAGCTCAAGTTACAATTAAATTCCCAAGTGCTGAATGAGCTTGCAGATATTATTTCAGAGCCATTGTCTTTAAGCTCCTGGAGACCAGGTGAAATGCCAGAAGAGTAGACTGGCAAATCTTTTCCCCATTCTCTAGAAGGTGGAACACGGAAAATGCAGAACAGCAATGTTATTAAAATTCCCAAATACATGATTAAGCAGTCAGTGTGTGAACATCTGGAAAATAATTGCATTGATTACTAGGAGTCAACATGAATTTGTTAGGAATAAGTCATGCCAGACCAACCTTTTTTCATAGAGTTACTAGTTAGGGTTGGATATTACTATGATCAGGTGGTCAGTCAATGCTATCCAATAAATGTTAATTAATAGCTCACCATCCTGCTGGCTGGATGTCTTGATTGACATGGCACAGGGTTCTGTCCTAGACTCTGGGCTGTTCAACATTTGTATAAAAGACTTGGACTAGGTTATAAAGGGGTTGCTTGTCACATTTGTGGATGGCTTGACAGACTCAGATAGTCAAAGCATAGTTAGGATCGAGATCAAAAGGATCTAGATAAGCAAATATGGACGTAAAGTCTTGTATTCAGGTATGAAACATCAAAAGTATAGGGTGAGTGAAACCTGGCTTGGCTGCAATACATGTAAATAGAACCTAGTAGCCTGTTGGACCACAAGCTGAATATGAGCCAACTGTGCTATGTGGCAGCTAAGAAAGCCAGTGAAATCTTGAGTTACAGTAGCAGAAACACAGTGTTATAGGAAGTAAAATTCTTTTCTATTTGGGGTACTAGGACTCATTCAGAATATCCCATTTTAAGAAGAACATTTGCAGGTTAGTGGATCCAAAGAAAAGCATCTGGGATAGAACTCTGGAACTCAAGGTGTATGGTGACTGTTGTACAGAGCTAGGTATATCTAGTCTGGAAAAGAGAAGATTATGGAAAGACATGATAGCGATCTCCAAATATCTGAAAAGGTATTATGCAGAAGATGGAGAAAACCTGTTTTTTGTAGGCCCCAAGTGCAGGACTAAAACCAACTGTGGAAATTTCAGGAAAGAAAATTTCAGCTAAATATTTGGAAAATTATTCTGAGATCTGTGAGACCAGTTCAGCAGTGGAACATATTTCCTCAGAAGATGCTGGGTTCTTGTTTGCTGGAAATATTTAAGCTGCAGATATCTGTCAGACATACTGTGGTTGCACCATACTATGTGGTTATTGAACTGAACAGGGTTGGACTAGATGATCTATAGTCCAATATATTTGATAACATATTTCAGTTAAAAATTTAGACTTACCTTTGTGTAACACATCTCTTTCCTGTATGCATTGTTTGAGTTTATTCCTAAGATAACTGTTTCATTTATTTTTTTTCACTAGCTCACTGTTATTTCCAACACAAACAAACCAAATGTTAATGATCCAGATCTAGTGTCATCCTATCTCATGTTTAGTTGCTAAGGTAGAACTGCCTTTCCACACAACCTACATTTGCACTTTGAAAGCACCGACATGTACAACAAATAAACAAGTCTGCTACTAAATTCAGACCATCTCATCAGCTCTTTGCATTCTTTTAGTCTAATGGTATTACTGGAAATATCTAAAATCTTTTTAGAGATGCAGTTGTATATATGCTTACCTAGGAATGTCCCATTGAACTCATGGAAGCTTACTTCTGATTAGCTACATATAGAATTCTGCTGTACATAATTCAGAAAAATGAGGTTATATCAAACCCTTGAAAGCATCAAGATTCTGTTTGAGCCAGGTTGTGAAGACAATTGTGATCTTCCCGGTTTCATATTTAAGAGACAATGGAAAATCTCTTCTCCTTATTTAAGAAGCTTGATCATACAGTTAGGTGGTCTCATGTTGCGTTACCAACTTCACACCATTGCATTAGTACTTATTGTGCCAAAATAATTATCATCTATTTATTATCTAACTTCTATTATGTCTAGATACATACATAGATGTAAGTGAAGTTGGGCTTCATTTGATGATTTGATTTAATGATACCACTGAATCAGTGTTTGAATGCTTGGATGGGGTACTTCTGTTTCAGCTGCAGTGGGATTTTGAGACACTAATTAATTAGCTCCTATCTCCATTTTAGGAACGGCAATCAACTATGAATAAAGAAAAAGGTGGTTCTGAACAAACAAACAAACTAGGTGACCGGAACAAGATGCAGAGAGCCAATTCTGTCACGGTAGACGGACAAGGCCTTCAGGTGTGATTTACTTGTTTTTAAATTTTGGTACAGCTACTTTTGTATCATTTTCCCTAGTTGTGGAATGAATTCAAGCTTGTCCAAATGGAGGAATCACAGATATAATCATAATATCTGCAGCCAGATATTTCAGAGCTGTTACAGACCACAGTTTAGAAAAGGGATGCAGAACCTCAGTAATGGGGGCCAAACCTGGCCTTTCAATAGCCCTCAGATGGACACACCTGTCCTCCAATCCATCTCTGTTTCACCAACTGCTGATAATTTGGTGTTTCCCCAGCTTTTGCAAATTTTTCCATATTTTAAAAGGATGAAGTGTCTTTCCTAAGGCCATTAAGAACTTCAAGCTAAAGTATGCTAATAATTGTGGCTGATTGTTTTTGCCCAGCCCCTTCTCCAGCAGCTTCTCTGAAACCGAATCAGGCTCTTTGGGACTGATATAAAATTTCTGATTCCCTGTGCTTGAACTCTCTGTAACCTTGCTGAGTCCTTGGCCCAAAGAGTGGGTTTAACAGGTTCCAGTCTGCAGAAAAGCTGAGAGACTTCTCAAGTTGGAAACCTTGCCTACAGGTAGACAGAAATCAACATTTTGTGTGTGTGTGTGCCAGATAGTGGTAGATGTCTGTCTGCTTGTCTGTCCATTGTTAAGTGTGAACAGCACATCCTACCTTCAAAGGTTAACAGTGGGCAGAAGGAAAGACCAAAGTGTAGATGGGGAGAGATCAAGATGACCATTGATTGATAGATGACTCTTAAAGGTGTAAAAACATTTCAATTGTTAGTAAGAGTTCTGACCTCTTTTGGAAGAGCAAACTGCTTTGTACTGCTGTGTGGATGCTTCAGTAAAGAGCTCTTTTGGTAGACCTTGCTGGTGGCATTTTTCATCTCTTGCGGCTAGACAAATGAACCTGGTTTGAATGGGAATTAAAATGCCTGACAGGCTGAAAGAGGTTCAACATTCCCAGTTTAGAACTTTCTGAAAAATCTGTGTCACTGAAGAAAATGTTTGAATCACACACATGTGCGCACTGTAATTATTGATCAAGATGGTAACAGAATGGATGGTTGATTCCCACATTCTAAGTATTTGTGCCAGTATACCCATCTGTGATGTGATTTATGAAATTGCATTGTTTTCTGGTGTTGCCTAAAGGCATATAGCTAAATGACTAGACTTTTTCTGTCTAAGCATGCATAAGGTTGCAATCTTAGAAAATATGTGATGATGATGATACAGTGAATGCATCTCCCACAATACCAATGAAAATTGATCAAATGTCCCAGTTTGATGCTTTGGGAAACTTACTTACAATTAACAGTATTTATTGCAAAAAGAAAATGTATATAATATTCATCCATGAATATTTTTGTATAAATAAATATCAGAAATCATAATCATAGTCATTCAAGACTATGCAGGCAACTCAGTGGCAAAGGAGATTGCTAGTTACGTACAACTATTATTAATCATAGTTAAGCACATTCATCTTATTTCTTTCTAGCTTAACCAGCATAATGATCAAGATTATTATTTCTAATTAGAGGAAGTAATATATCATGTATAACCTTAAGATGAGCCTCATTAATTAACCTGAATCCGTAGGGAGCTTTAAGAGACAGTCCATCTTTGTCACAATGAAAACCAGTGGTTTATGCTTCATTCACAGGAACAAACAATCCCGGAATTAGACTGAAGAAGTAGAATTGATTAAATCTCCAGATATTAAAGATGTGGCAATCTTTGAGTTGGGGTCTAATGTTATCTATGCAGAAACATATGTGCTTCAGTTCATAGATCTCTCCCCATCCAACCTGATAATAGCCTGGAGAGCTGAACAGGGCTCTGAACTGCTGCGCTTGCTTCCCTTAATGGCAGAGAAGTGGAAGTTTCAGATGTCGTTGTGCTTAAACTATGACTACATCTTTATTAAAAGTGTACAAAGCATAGTTTCCAAATGTAAGCATATGTGCCGCAAATTCATCTGTCAGCCAAGGGCTACTAAGGAGTAACCTAAATCAATTTTAGCCAAGAATAGTGAATGGCTTAGATCCTGAGAATCACAGGAAGGGAGATTTTTTTTCTTTGTCCCTTCCACCCCTGCATGCCTAAGGTTTCTCTGTCTGATTTTAGGCAATTTTTCCTGTGGTCTCTAACCCCATGGCACATTGTTCAGCAGAAACTGTTTTGAGGCACAGGGGCTATAGGAAGTAGCAAAGATGCCTTCTGTAAGTTGCTTCCCCTCATGGTTGTTAGGATCAAGCTAGTGCCAGTAGGCTGCCAGCCAATGCATCATTTTTCAATCTCAATGAGATTATCAAATTAAGTGGGTACCACTTTTTGGAACTACTATTCTCTGCGATGGATGCATTGAAATTCCCTTTCTGCTTACAAAATATATGAGCATATGATCTCAAGTGTAAGCATCTGTTTATCAAAAATGTTGTGTGGACAGGTGTTTGCATGCAATATTCTCAGTTTCTTCTGTGCACTTTTTACAGGCAGATTGAATCAGCCCTGCATTAGTTTACAGACTAAGGTTGTACAAATGAGGACATTTGCTCCAATTTCATGTTTGATTTGTGCAAATTTTCCATTAATGCAGAGCAAACCTACAGAATTGTCCATGGGACAATCTGCAAGAAAATTGTCAGAGAATCATAATGACAGTCACTCATTCACCCTTCTCTTGTGTATCTTCTGACTTCTTCCAAAGTAAAGGCGTTCCTAGAAAAGTTATAAAAGAATGTGTCATTGGTTAAGCCTTTTTATATATCAAAAATAAGCACAGGCATGTCTTTCAATCTTCTGAAAATGGTTGGGTAAGCTCTGAACAGAAGTCTACTTTTTGAGAAAATGTAAAGCCATTCGCTTTACCCAGCCATGGCTGGTGGCTCCAATTTTGAGTTTCAGAATGAACTTTAAAGATGATATCCATTGTATGGAGCATGTTTTGATGATAAGGTTCAACACCACAAAAAAAAATAATTAAAAATTCAGGATTTTAGGATATACACTAAATCCAGGAGTGTACATAATACCTCATTGACATTGGAGCCACCAGTCTCCATTGGCTTTATTGTATTTCAGGCAGGGAACATGAGCTGTCATGAGATGAGGCATTGATAAAAAGAACCTGGTCCTAAAATGCAAGAGGGAAATATTGTTTAAAAATGCATTTTCTTAATGTCTTTGGTATTTATGGTGTTCTTGATTTGCTGCTGCTGAAAATTTTCTCATCAGCACCAGCATTGCAATCCATGTCTTAATTCTTTCCTGTGCATTTCCTTTATTGGCTGATATTGTAAACATGTATTACAAGTCTAGTAATTTCTGTTCAGTAACATGGAAATGCAATCACAGCACTTTATCACTGTGGAAACATCAAAAAGAAATATAAAATTAACTTACATTTATCAAATTATTTTAGAGCAGGTATGCAGACTTTTACAAAGGAAAAGTCAGTTTTCTTTGTCTATATATAAGGAAAAACAAAGATGAAATGGATGATTAATGCATTCCTGTGGTATTTCCTTAATTTAGATTACACCTCCTCAAGGTACTCATCCACTTCTAGTTTTCGTTAACCCTAAAAGTGGTGGAAAACAAGGAGAAAGGTATGTATTGCTATATCATTGACTGTTTTGTCAATTTTTGTCAATATGTTTTGAGCAGATCAACTCTTTCTATTGAATAGAAACTATAAATGCATGCATTATATTTGCAGCCAAAGGTTTTTCTAAGTAAATCGAGATAACTGGTTATTAGGAGTAAACGTTGCTGTAAATCCTAAACCTGGTTTCTTGGAAATGAGGAATAATAATAATAATAATAATAATTATTATTATTATTATTATTATTACATTTCTATGCCGCCCCTTGCCGAAACTTCGGGGCGGCTTACAACATGATAAAATACATTGAAATACAATAGTACATAATAAATTACCATTAAATATAAAAATACAAAAAATACATTGATTTACAAATATAAAATTAAAATTATTAGTATATAATAAAAATATAGGGGGAGAAAGAGAAGGAAGAAGAAGTTGCCCTGGCCAGATCATATGTTTTGAATAAGCCTAGCACGTTGGAAGAGTATTGAAAAAGAGTATCTACATGGAACCAACTAAGCATGTGTCACAAATCAAGGACCTGCACCATCAAGAAATGTTGCATTGTCAATATATTTTTCTTTTTTAGAAAGATCCACATGGTTGATGATATTGAAAGTCATTCAGAGACCCAGGAGAAAAAACAATTTTGAATTCCCCCTGTCCTCTTAGTTCTCTTTTTCAGTCTTCCACATCTTTCTTCACCTTGGTGGCATCTACACATACTTCCTCCTCTTCTTGCCCTTCCTTTTCTCTTACATTCTGATCCGGTTGGCTGCACTCACTTTTTCTACCTTTAAGCCATTCCTGATTCACTTGCCCTGCATTTTTTCACCACAGGCCCATGTTCCTTGTCATTATCACCTGTTGGGCCTTGGGTTATTTTCTGCCATCTCATCTGCTTAGTACTCTCACCTCACTGGCCAGACCCCCTCTCCAAAATTTTTTTTAAAAAATTGCAAGATGCACTAGAATCAAGATTTCCATCTAGCTACCTTGTAGACTATTCCAAATAAGTCCCTGCCCCCCCCAACACACACATACACATGTGCAGCCTGTGTTCACTCAACACACTGAGCAACAATGTGTGGTTACCATGGTTTGTGATTTTCTACCATGATCTACCCAACAGATGCTTAGTTTCTATTTTATTGTGGTTTTCATCTTCTCCACTCAGTTCGCTCACCATTGACACATATTTTACTAGCCACTGCAGCTGAAATTCAAGGCATTGCCCTCTGCCTTTGTTGCCTTCCCCTTCATCATTGGTCTGCACACATTGCCTGGATGGCTGGAGCCGATTATGCAGAGAAAATGTCTAGTCTAGAACTCTCTCTCATAAGTGTAGGATTTTAATTACTTTGTTTAATGTGAATGCTCACCTAACCATATATAATGCAAGTAGATCTTAAATAACAATTTCTTTTTTCTGCAACTACAGAATTCATAGAAAATTTCAGTATCTTTTGAATCCTCGTCAGGTTTACAACCTTGCAGCAAATGGACCAATGCCAGGGTAAGCGTAAAGCTAAATGTCATCAAAGATGTGCTCAAACAATGTCAGGTCCTGCTTTAGAGGGCCCTTGGCCAAGGAACCTTCAGTGGGTGCACGTTTTCACCATCACTACCCCTGCTCTTCCTGATTATTCTCTTTCTGATCCCTGCTGCTTGACGAGCAGACAACCAGCAGACATGTAAGCAGCAGCATCTGCTGCTCCCTCTTCTCACCACCACTGTTGTCATGGCTAGGCACAGAGAAGGTTGCAGTGAGGAAGAAGAGCAATTCCAGGGAGGTCTTGTCAGATAGTCCCAGCTGGGATGTGGGACCTAGACAGATGCTCAGTCAGAACCATTTTTGATGCTGGCCCTGATCTTGTAATAAAATGCATCACTGAAACACACTAAAGGTTCACATAAGGTTCGGAGAGCCAGCGTGGTGTAGTGGTTAAGAGCTGGGACTGGGACTCAGACGATCTGGGTTCTAGTCCCCGTTCAGCCATGGAGCCAACTGGGTGACTTTGAGCCAGTCACAGACTCTCAGCCCAACCTACTTCACAGGGTTGTTGTTGTGGGGATAAGATGGAGGAGGAGAGATGATGTAAGCTGCCTTGAGCCCTTTGTAGGAAAAAGGCAGGATACAAATCGGAAAATAAATAAATAAATAAATAAATAAATAAATAAATAAATAAATAAGAAGTATATGAATTTCAGGGTATCAGAAACATTCATTTAACTGCAGAAATACTCCATATAGAAAGAAAGATATATGGATCCACTTAACTACCTGTACTGTGTGGAAGTCATTGGCTTCACTATAGATTTTCTCCCCCAGAACTATACTTTTGTGGTTGTATCTATTTCCCCCCTTTCTTCTACTTTATATTCCATTTTTTACTGTTTTGTTTCCTACTATACTTTGGTGCTTATTCTCGTCTTCTGCCTTCTTAATGTTTATGCTTCTTTTTGTTCTGGTGCAGAGGCTAAGGTGAAGAAGGGTCAGTGGTAGGTGGACAGATTACTTACCTGGGCCAGCTCACTTACTTGGCCCTACTTTGATCTACTCGTGTCATTTGCATTGTGCTTCTAATTCATTTTACATTCTCAGCAACTAAACAACCAGAAGGAAGAGGTGATATGAAAAGAAACAGCTGTATACCCTACCAGTACTATCTTTGGAAGTGTTTTGAAATGTGCATTCCTTTCTTGGGAGAACTGAAGTCAGATATTGGACATGGTGGAATTGCTCTTCATAAAAGAGTAATTTACTGGACCTGAACTGCTTTTCCCCCGTGTAAGGGTGGAAGACCTTAAAACCATCTGTCCCAGGAAGCCAATATTTTCAGATGTTTTCTTGAGGGTTGGGATTTTCTGGTGGTTTTGTCCAGGCCCTGGTGATTATGCAGAATACAGAAATGACCTGAGTGGCTGACAACATTGCTTCTGAGTACCTTCTCTGTAGTAGATGCTATACAGCTCTGTGGTTAACCCCAGAACTGAGAGCAACTAAACAAAATAGGAGGCAACTTGAGTGCAGATAAAGAAAAACTCCTAGTGGATTTAAATGGACACAGGTATTTGCCCATATTCATATACATTTAGGGACAAGTGAGGGCATTAAAAGGACGTTAATCACCCATTAGCTTCATGGCTGACCAGGGACTACAACCCAGATCACCTGAGTCCAAGTCCCACACTCTTAAGCTCTACACCAAACTGACTCTCAGATGACATTGTGACTTAACCAAATTCCCCCTCCTTTAGGTCACCAACCTCAAGCTTGGCCAAACAAACAAACAAATCGGATTTAGATTCTGCCCTGCTTCACATTTTAGTCCGATGATATCTTGGGACAGTCTTATGGGTGTCATGAATATTATGGAGCCCTGAGCCACCCTAGGCAAGGTGCCCTTGTCATGAATAATAATGTCTCCCAACCCCAGCAGCCTGGAGGACCAGAACATTACAATCAAGACAACCTCTGTCACTTCAGGTAGGGAGACTGCCAGGTAACAGGGCTGTGATATCCCAGCACAATCTTCATTTTTTCCTCTGGCTGAGTGCAAGATTCAAGCACTCCAGGCCAGCAGTTAGATGGACAAGAGTCCAGGGATTTTTTACTCTTCTGTCTATGGTAATGTCTGTTGTGTTTGTTTTTATATTCCAGTTCTTTTTAGAAAAAAATGCAGCACTGAAGAACATTGTCCCCCTCACATTATTTCAATTAGCTATTTTGGGTTAATGGAAGGGTATGATATTATGACTTAGATAGACTTGTACTCTTGTGTAATTTGAAGAAAAATTATCTAAAAGCATACTGACAGTGCAATCATTTATATGTCTATGAGAAGTAAGCTCTATCGATTTCACTCAAACATATCCAGGTTAAGTGTGGATAGAATTGCAGCCTAAATTACCTATGGACCATTTAGACTATTTTCACAAGTCACGCATGTCTTTTCTGTTTCTTTTGTTTGGGAAGTATACCATTTATTAAAGCCAGTGAAACATTTTTTTTTGCTGAAATAGAGTTCTAGATTTGCACTTCTTAATGATAAGTTTTAAGATTTTTACGTTGTAGTCATATGCATGTTTAGACAGCAAAATGCCATACATCATCCTGCATTTTCTAGCAAGTTGGGAGTTGTAGAACTTTATGCTGTCTAAACATGCATGGCATTGTGCCTTCACAGGAGTTTTTTTGTTTGTTTGTTTTTTAATTGTAATGATCTTATACTTCTGAGCACTAATTTTATACCCATTAACAGATGTAAGTCTGATTTAACTTAGTGGGACTTACTTCTGAGTAGATGTGTATATGTTAAGTATATGTTGAAAAGGCTTGTAATGATTATCCCCATGGCAAGTATAAAGACTTGCAAGGATAGAAAAAAAATCAGCCACAAGAGGGCAGTGTTCAGTGAAGACTTGTTTTAATTTTACCTTTGTTTCCCTCCTTCAGTTTTTGTGTTTAACAGTGTTTACGGGACAATTTCTTGTGCAAAAATCTTAATAATGTGACTTTAAGAAATGGCCAATTAATTATCTAACCAATCTTGAATCATGTTTTAGTAAGTTGATGTTTTCCTTGTGAAAGTGTTACTTAATTCTAACAGTTTTCTCTCTGTGTGTATGCACAAACTCACCTTTCATTTCTTTGTTCTGGCTGTAGAATGAGCTGAGTCCAGCTTACCTCCCTTTACACAATGGCTTTATAAATCTGTTAGGCCAGTGAGAATAGCCTTGCTAATAAGTAGTCATAGGGTGTCTGCCCTTTGCCTGCAGCTGTGTCACTGCTCTTCACCTCTCAGCACTGTCTACCACCAAACACCACTGTCAGAGCATGAGCCTGGAAATCTGAATACAGTGCGACTTTCTTTTGAGTGGAAATTTAGATGGTTGGGCCATGAATATATTAACAATATCATACCAGTTTTAAAGGCAATGCTGAGCCCATGCTGTGACCTCTTCTCTGCTCGGGCCCATGGTATCGCTGGCTGATGTGGTTGTGAACTGGATAGGAAGGCAACAGAGCTGCCTGCTGTGAAGCAGGTTTTGTCCTTTCAGCTTTCCACCCATTTACTTGGATGGAAGGCTGACAGGTGTGACTTCCCTTTTGAACAATCTTGCCCTCAAACAGTGATTTACCATATTTTTCGCTCTATAAGACACACCTGACCATAAGACGCACCTAGTTTTTAGAGGAAGAAAACAAGAAAAAATATTCTGAATCAAATAGTTTACTAAACTATTTAATAAACTATAACAGAATACAGTAATACCGTATTTCAACCTTGTAAAGTGAACAGCAGTCAATAGTGGCATTAAGAACCACCATCACTGTCATTAACAAAAGAGAGACTTTAAAGTTCAAGTACTCTTCTAGTTTTCGTTGAACCCATAGAACTCATCATCACTAGAGTCAGAATTTATGAAGCTCTGTTGCTCACAATCAGTGACATCACTTTCTTAGTCAGTAGTGGAATTATTGAAGAAATCCACAATCTACACCAGTTATACAAGAGCTGCTGCAGACAATTCAATAACAAATCTAAAAAAGCCAGTAATGTCCATGCTGCCCTACTAGTAAATAATAGAAAAAAACTTCTGACAAAAAATGAGATACTGTATGGTAAATCAAACACACTAAGTAGCCTTTGAAGAATAAACTTCATACATGAAGGTAATGCTGTTCAAATATCCACTGATTCTAAAAAAGATGTGTCTGATCAACTAACAGATAACTGATCCATGGAAAGCTTCCTGATAATCACAGGCACATTCCCCATCACTTCCCCTTGGGCTTCATTAAAAGATGGGTTGCCATTTGAAAACACACACCGACCTGTGATAACAGCTCTCACTTGTGCCGGAGGACGGGGGCAGAGCAGGGTGCACTGAGTGCATGCTGGCCAGGTGGTGCCATGTGGGGCCAGCAGCGTGCCGGTGGTGGTCTTCCGGGCAGCGTGGCGGCAGGTCTTCCCAGGCGGGGGGGGGGGGTGAGCAGTTCCCAGGCGGTGAGCACTCTGTCTCTCCATGCGGCCGGCGGGTTAAAGGCCGCGGCTCCTCCTCTGCACGCCTCCCCCTGAGCGGCACAGCTCTCACCTGCACTGGGGGGGGGGGGGGGAGAAGGGGGCCCCTTTGGGAAGGGGGGGGGGGCAGCGCCCCGGTGGCGGGCCCCACACCTTTTTGCTCTAAAAGATGCACAGACATTTCCCTTTACTTTTGGGGGGGGGGGGAGTGCATCTTATAGAGCGAAAAATACGGTACATGTGGTGAATCCTTTGCAGAACAGGCTGATTTAAAAGAATGCAAACAGCTTCTCTGAAATTTTTCTGTTCTTTTTCCAATTTAATTGGTTGATTGCATTTCTGTACAGCCTTTGAAAACGAGCCAAGATCACAAAATATAAATCATAATCAAATGTAATTATAGTAAAATATCAAATAAGCATCACAGTAGCACCTTAAAAGTGATACATGTCATCTAATAGCAATAAGGTTATTCCTTCTGATGTTAAAAAAAAAACATTTTATAGTTAAATTCTATAACCATATTCCACACTGCAAGTGTCCTACTCATGCCCTTGGAAAACTGCTTTTAGAGATAATAGTAGCATCAAAAGCTACTATACACAAAAAGTTTGTGATATGGAGCAGAATGTCCTTACTCAAAGAAAAATGGCAAAAACTTTGAGCTTAGAACAATCCCCTTGTGTTCACATGTGCTTCTTTAAACCTAATTAACATTTAGGGGCTTCTTATATCTAACATTTGATTTGCTATCTAATATGAGGGTATTGGCTCTGCAATGGATAACCAATCAATACAGTTAAAACCCAAGTCTGAAATGATTCCACTATTAAAGATGAGGAGCAAATTGCACCTTCTATCCTCACAACCATCTTCCAGGCCTTCATAAACTTTACTTGTGATCAAAGATCTTGCAGAAAGAGGACACTGTTTCTAGGCTCCACATGGAAAGCCAATGAGCTTAAAAAGGTCAGAGTTGTAAGGAGAATCTGAGATCCTACTCCCTTTCTGCAGCATCCAATCTATAATGACCTGGTTTAACTGAACTGTGGCCTGTTGTAGTACCCAAGGTTTGTCTAGCAGAGGTTTTTCTTTTTGAGGCCCTTGGTTGTTTGTTTTCCTCCTTCGTCATCGACTCACATCCTTTAACCAAAGTATCCTTGCATAGATGGCATGTAAAGAGGCAGGGTTCATTTTGTTTTTACCTCTTTTATCCACTGCCTTTAACCTGGTGAAACAATGCATTGCTAATTTACTGTGGTTTGCTGTTCGATGTGAACTTGGTCACTGCATGGATAGGCTTATGGTCAAGGCTCACCCAGCCCACTGGAGAACGTTACACCTTTCCTGTTACATTGAAGGTGGCAGGGATGAGCAGCAGCAGTGGCAGAATAAGCTTGCAGCTGTTGGTACCTGCTATTTTAATTCCCCCATGTTGTCTCTGGGGCCTCAATGCTATATAACATTTGGGATTGGGAGCAGGATAGGCAGTGGGCCTTTCTGACTGCTTGGGTATATTTCTTTTCAAAGTCTACTCAATCCCTCTCTATCTTTGTCCCCCTCTTTCACACACACACACACAAACACACAGAGGGAGAAACAGACAGAGTGAGAGAGCTCTTTGAGGGAAAAGCTTTATAGGTTTTATTTTTACATATATTTTATATAACAAAAATAAACCTTTCTGTTAATAGTAAGAGTTGAAATTAAATGCTGAAGTATGAGAAAATAAGCATGAATCGTAGAAACCATGCAGGCTTTGCAGCTAAGCTTTAATAAAAATACATTACAGTTTATAAAGAGTCACAGTTAACAAAGTGACATGAAAATTCCCATTCTGATACATTGTGCAATTGGTTAACGTGCACCTGTTTTTACTCTGAAAAGAGTTCCACTCTTCAGTGATTGTAGGAGCCATCAACTTCTGTCAACAACAACTGTTACTGTAGATTTAATTATGCTGAAGAATTTGAAATTCAGTCACTGTTCACTTTATAAGTAAATAACAGTTGTGCAAATAGCAGTTGGACTGCTGGTCTGTAGGAAATAGCAGACTTGCCACCATTTTTCCTACTTTTTCATGGTAGATACTATAGGCTGCTCAGTCCTACGACTGAATATCTATACCATGCTGTTTTAAACTCTGGGAAGTTGTTTCCTCCCGTGCATTATAACTATGCAGATTTCATTTAGAAAATGGAACAATATTTATATCATTTTGAGTTTATCACCCCAAAGCAGTTTTCCTCTCATCCTGAAAAGGTACACTTCCAATCATACCTGCAGGTGGAATTTTCTTTTGTGACTCTTTGATTTTTTTTTGTTGGATTTCAGGAACAAGAAATTGGGGATCTGATGGCAAATAACCATTTTATTGCTGTTGATAAAATGCATCAGGGCATCTCCTCTGTTTACCAGCAATTTATCTTTGTTTATCCTTAGGAGAAGAAGAGTAAATAGCAGGTGCTAGTGAGCAACGATAGGTACAGACTGACTCATGGTGGAAAATGTGCTCGAAAGTTTGGAAGTTAATGTATGCATCTCTTACAACCATGCATAGATACTAAAGAAACATCAGAATGGCAGGGAATATGTTGGAATAAAAAAGTTGATTAGGTATCATTTGCACACAAGTGGCACATAAAGCCATAGCTTTATGTATCATTCAGAGGACAGTCTTGAAGACACATGATACACGTGTGTGGCTGAAACTTTGAATGCCTTCCTTGGGTACCTGGATGCAAGATTGTCTTACCAACATCTATGTCAGCCAATTTGAACTATTCAGAGGACAAGCCAGGCTGAGAGATAAACATAGCCTCAAGTGTTGCCTTTATGTATATATTGATTTGAGGTATTTAGAAACTTGTAGTAAATGTCCTAAGATCCAGAAAACCAAATGTGAAGCTGCATATTTTAAAGGATATTCACAGTCAAACTATGGTAAGGAGAGTCCCCTCCCCCAAAATTCATGAAACTACAGTGCATTAAAAAAATACTTCCCTGGTAGCAGTAGAAGAACTCCACATAAGGAAAAACACGGCTTGAGAATGATATCATCTGGACCGCCTTGTAAAATTCTGTGAATATGTCACTGAAATTGTAACTGAAATAATAATAGAGTAGTCTGGAAGCATCCGAGTGTCCTTAAGAGAAACAATGGCTTCAGCTACCTAGCAAGTTTGTCAAGTTTGTCATGGTCTTTGACTTCTGTATTAAAATGTGTGTGTGTGAATGCAGGTATTGATTACAGTGTTTACCATCAAAAAATTTCACAGCCTCTTCATTACTACTTTTTCAAGACTTTTCTCTACTGTTCTTCTGTGTGTGACATACATCCCTTCAAAAATTGTCAGCTATGTCTAGTTGAAATCCATTTGTCCTTAGAATGCATTTCTATTTTATACCTTCAAAACTACTGTCAATGAGTAATGGCTAAACAGGTGGTGACCTACTTTGGTCTTGTAGCTGGTTTCTCTCTCTAGATCATGTAGCAATATTATCTCATTATTCCTGCTGTCATTGAAACTGATTTCTTTCTATGCCCTATTGTGTTTTGTCATTAGCAGAGATTATCAGCTGTGCAGAATTGGGGGCTTGTTTAGTAGATAAAGTAAGCTTTACTTAGAATTTGAACAATCCAAGTAATAGAACAAGCAAAACAAACCGCACATTTTAATACTACATTACTTCCTTCTTTTCTTTCATTGGATATGTGCACTTGATGTGTCATCTCTATTTTGTGAATGTATTGGGCACTCCTGAAACCTTTGGAAGGAAATGTGCCCCCACCCTTGCCCACATATGCTGCAATATATATGACACACACACACACATTACCTATATTGTATATATTACATGCATTACATATGATATGAATTTCAGGTTGGGATACTGTTATCAACCAAGTAAATATGAATCAATTTAAAAACTGCTGTGAAACAAAACACTTCATTTCATTAAAGATCGCATTATTTCACCATGCATTCCTAGCTCAGCATATTTTCTTTATAACACAAAGTATTATAATTTTGTTCTGGCCTGTGTTTGAAAACTGTTGCAGTCAGCCATAGGTTCCATAGATCCCTGGCTGAAAAATGATATTCTTTACAGATACTTGGCATCCACATACTGGTTAATCTTTACCCATTAAAATATAGTTCCCAGGAGAAGAATATTTTACTGCTCACCATAATAAACTGCATGTTATAATGAAACCAATTTTATTGGATCACTTTGCAGTAATTAGCATCTTATGGCTAATGCCCTTATAGCTTAGCCCATTGTATCTGAGAATTATAATCGCAATGAAGTATGTGCTGTCCTATTTCAAGCTGAGTTCAGCCAGTTTTTCTAGTCCAAGCAAAGGAACTGCTGTGTAAGTGTTCTGTTTGTAGAATGTCAAGAAAACAAGGTTGTGGGTCATAAGGGCACATTTTTCCTTTCTCTTTCAGATTAAATTTTTTTCGTGATGTTTCTGACTTTCGAGTATTGGCATGTGGTGGAGATGGAACCGTGGGTTGGATTTTGGACTGTATAGGTAAAATGATGGCTTTTAAATGTCACTTATTGAGATAATATATGGATTTTTGAAACATTTACCAATTGGCTGAAATAAGAGTTTTATGTGCAGTTGATCCTGGGATTTATCAGAGAAAGGAAATCTCCTTCTGCTTGATGTTAGTATAACAAAAAGGGAGGCGACAGAAATGAAGATGGTTATGAGAAAGACAAAAAAAGTAGTAAAAAGGGACAGTGATGTTGTGATTAAGCTGTCTATCTATGTACATCTGTTAATTAGAGGGAATGTCTCGATTTATTTCAGGACACTGGACCTTTGGCAGTATTACAGTGTATGGCTCATTAAATTTCAATTCATTATATCAGTAAGCAGCAGACATATCAGTATTGTTCTTATTTTGTTTCCTACTTTGTCATAGGACATTATGAACCTGCTCTAAATTAAGTCAGACCATTCAGATATTCGAGTTCTAATATTCATCACTTGAGGTGTCTGAAACTCCTTCTTTTGGATGTTCCCAAACACTTACCCTCTTGAGCTCCCTGCTCCAGGGTTTATTACAATGGTATTATCCTTGTATATATGCTTACTTTCATTTTCATTTCTTACCCAATAGCCAAAGCTGTTTGAGCAGTGTATAGAGATTAAAAACTTAAGTACAGATTATACTATGGCATTATTCTTGCCATTTCCCAAGGGAGAAGTTCACTTGTACGAATGCTTGAGGAAAGCTGTTTCATGGAGCAACTTAGGAAACCCAACTTTGATCTTAGAAATAAACCTTAAAACATCTGTAAACTACAGTAGGGGTTGTTTTTAACATCCAAGAATAATAATAATGTGATTTTCCTATTCATTGAGACTATAAGATACTCCCTAGATTCCATGATAAAGAGGATAGTCATGTTTGGACTTTTCTCTATATTTATGCCCTTCAAGAGAAGGTTATTTTGCTAGATGGACAGCTTTTGTTATATATTATATTGTTGTTTTTCTTATGCATAGACACTTGCGGAAATGCTTTTGATCTAGCTGAGGCTATTGTCTTCCAACCTACTGGATGGCGTCCCAGTGCTCTAAGAAGACTGGGGGCAGTTAGAGTGCTGTAGGATTGAAGGCAAATCAGTGGAAATTACCTCTGTCATCCTTCCATTAGTAATTTGCTCTGCTAAATCAGAGGCTGTTCTGCAAGCAGAAGTAGTCCTTTCATCTGTGAAGGGTAATTTTGGATGCAATTGGCTGGATTTGACCAATGACGTCTAGCACAGAACTCAAGGCATATATACCTCCCCAGCAGATTGTTAAACGTTTTTGTTAGCTGCCTAGAACTTTAAAAATGGGAAAGTCAGTCATGAATCAACAGCTATAAAGATCTAAGTTACATTTTAATTTTGATTCAATTTAATTTGGGGGTGGGGGGCTAAGTTCATCTTTGCCCTCTTTTTCTTTTCACTATTAAAGGACTTTATTTAACTTTGTCAGTCTGGTATATTGCTGTTGTCAGTACAAAGGATTTAAGGTCCCCATCTGTATCCCTATTTCTCAGGTAGGATTAAGAATGGAAGAAGAATGCTTTAGATTAGAAGAGGTTAGTAATAGGATGTTAGAAATAATCATCTTTCTGGAAAAGAAATAGATTATACCTAGTTCAAAGGTGTGCATTATAAATTTGTCATAGAGTCATTAGAGTTTAAAGTGGCATGTAAAAATTGTATTAGGTAATGACTTGAAACTTAGAAAATAATTAAGAATGGACTATTAGTGAAAAGTCCTGGCATTTTTTTCAATGTGTGTTTTTTGTTTTGTCCTGAAAAAATGACTAGTTATCAGAGTACGAAACATTCTTTTAGGTTGCAAAAGAACTGTCCATTGCCCACTTCTCTGGGACAGATTTTTACAGCTGTGATAATCTACTTGATTTAAGATTACTTGCTTTACATAATTTTTCAAATGTAGTGTTCTTTGACTAACTTTCTCTCTTATGTTTTTCATGCTATATCCTATTCTGGCTGTTTGGATTACTAGGAAGGGTACTGATACTAAATTTTATATAAAAGAACATGCGAGACAAATTCCAAATTCCTTAACTATCTTTCCTTTTCTTGTGGAATTTCTCTCTTGAATTCTTTCATATAAAAGTTAATGTCAATATAATACCTGTTGAAAACAAAGAAGCAGGCGTACTCTATTTTAGGTGATTTTCCATCACATAGTTGGTCTAAATATTGCAACCTATGAATAAATGCCAATCTATGACATCAAGTAGATAATCTATCAAGCTGCAGGTCAAAATACTGGGTTGCATTTTGGTGGGTCACATGTTGTGCAGCCCTGGATTAAACAAGTCTTATATTGCATGGAATCTTAAACTATCAAAACCATGGAGCATTTGCTCATTGATATTAGCTCGGTGGATTTGGTTTTGCACAGTGAACCCATGATTAAACATATCCTAAATTGGTATTGGGACGATAACATTGTTCCACTGTAAAATATTGGAGCGAACCTGTGCACTTCATTCCATAGGGGAGGGATGGACAATATGAGCCACCCATCCCCACATGCTGTCAAATTCAGTGGAGGTGGACTAAAAATTTTTTTTGAAAGTATAGCACTTTCAGTACTATAGAGTACTCAAAGTGTCAACATTAGCTTTGTGGAATCTAAACTGGAACATTTATGGTGTTCTCCAGCAGCTATAATGTAGTATAAGAACCAAATTTAGCACCTTATAAGTGCAATGGACCACCAGATTTTGGCATGGCTTTCTTCAGGCTACAGTTCACTGCTATGTGATGGACAGCTGGAGTTCTGCCTCTGCATTCTGGGCATCCAGAGCCAATCACAGCACTTGCGGCATTGGCAAGTAGCAAAAATTGCTGGACTGGGTAGTTCAGCCTTCATTCTGGGGACCGGAGCCACCTGGGGACAGAACTAAAGACAGCTGTAACAGCTGGAAAGGAACACTGTGCAGAAACACTATGTCAGCCTAGAGTCGAAAACGTGTCACAGTCATTCAGCTCGATGTATCTTTATTTCCTTCTGTAGAAATAACCCTGTTTTTATTTTACTGATACCCATTGCTGTGACAATGGGAGATAAAGAAAGGAACATGCTCGTCTTTGGGAGTATCCCTTGGTGGAGAAAAAGTGGCAGTGAGGGAAAGAATGGTGCTCTGGTCATTACCCTAGTAAGTACAAGTCAGCTGTGGCTAAAGGCTTGTGGCAAGAGGAGGATGGCCCCTTGGACCCCCTGGTGTCTCTAAAGGAACTGGAAGGAGAGTCCAAGTATAAGAGGATAAGCATTTTCCAGGAAAGGCAAGCAGGATGTCAGCCTTGGTGAGAGGCAAGCATGATGAACCAGGTGTGAGGCATAAAGGCCTGCAACTCAACCAAGGGGTTTATAAACACCTAAGATAAAGGTGGAAAAAACAACAGCAACAAACCTGCTACTGTTTCCACTAAGGTGGGGCGGTGCGGTGTGCCATTTCCTGTTATAGGGAATAGCAACTATGATAATTAACCTACTAGTTTGTACTTAATTACTAATTAATTAATTGTACTAGTTTGTACTTAATTGCAGTAATGTTGTTGTATTTTATTGTTAAATTCCACTTAGAGAGCTCTGGCAGGTTATTCAGCAGCCTATAAATTTAAAAATAATCCTGTTTCATTTTGTGAGCCACCTTGGAACTAGGTCTTATAAGGTGATGCATAAATATCATTCATGAATTAATAAATAAAATAAACTGTGGATCAATGACTGTTAGTCAGTGGTTACTAGGTTATACCCAAAGTGTTATAAGTCCTGGAATCAGGTGTAAAAATAGGTGTAGAGAAATTAAAAATTCAGTTTAATGAAAATGCTGCATTTCTCTTTATTAAAAAAACACAGACTGGAGCAGCTGTGGGATCAAAATTTATTCCACCATGTTATTCTTACAATGAATTATCTATTTTGGTTCTATATGTTGGCTCATAGACATTAACCATAACTATTTCTGTTATTTGCAGAGAAAGCAAATTTGATCAAGCATCCACCAGTTGCTATTCTCCCTCTTGGAACTGGGAATGACTTAGCCAGATGTCTGAGATGGGGAGGAGGTAAATAAAGAAATAATTGACCTGTGAAGATTTTATTTCCAAACAAGGTGTCTCAGATATGTTTAGCTACTGTTTACATTTACAGTGTTTGAATAAAGTTTCTTTTTAACTCCACTTTTAAGGCAAGGTAATCGATTTGTCAGTCACTCATAGGATCCAAGACAGGGAACTTCCATGCTTTTAGCATTGCTGCCATGATGTATCATTCTCAGGGCCTGCATATTGTAGTCATGGCTGCTAACAAAATTGTCATGTTCTACTGGGGGAGTGGATAAATCCAAGACTGAATTGTGTTATCTTACGCAGCCCTGATTGCAAAGCAGGACTGGGGTTCTCTCAGAATTAGAGAAAAAGCTAACCAATTTTAGCCCACTTTGTAAGATCAACATCTCCATTTGGTTTTCTTGTCACAAGCTGGCACTTTTTCTATTCCACATAAAGCTAATGCAAGGACTGGTAGAGGCATGAGATAATGCACTTTGTAGTAAGATCATATCGGCAGCTGACTGTGGCTTTGGGCAGATGACACATTTGGGAATTGTGAGAGGAGGGCCAGGTTTCTTCCCATTGGTGTCGTTCTTGACTTTCTGAGTCTTCGTCTAGCCTTTTCTACAGAATATAAGATTACTGAATGCCCTGAGTCAAGGAAGCGTGGGGCTACTGGGTACTAGCCTGAACTCCTCTCTACATATTATTTCTTCTGGTATGTTGTCTGCATAGTGCTAATAAGAAGTCAGCAACTTGGTCACATTTAATGAAGGCAGTATAATCATAGAAACCAATATGCAATTATTTCACTTTGCAAGTTGGGATTGTTTATAGTATAAATGCAGTGTATGTTTTTCCTTGTAGAACAGTATATATTCTTTAAAACTGGCTTTACATGAAAGATTATTTAAAATGTGATTGAAAATTAAATAATTTGAATGAAAATATATTTTATTGAAAATTGAGTTAAATATGTTTAGGATTGTTACAAACTGAGTCCCAAATCAAAACACTGCTAATAATCCTGAATGGCCTTTATACATAGTTCTTCCCTTCTTCTCTTATCCTGCAGTAGATTTCAGACAATCAGTCTTATGGTGCTATTTACCAGGATTAATGGAGGCAAAGAATAAATAAAAAGAAGAGGATTCGTATAAAATTAAACCGCCTGTACCCTTGCCTCCTTCCATGAAAGTGTGAAGAGTAGATGAAGAGCAGCTGATTTGTTGGGATTAAAAGGGGAGGAAACTTGTGCAAGATGCCATGAAAAGATCTAGCTAAGGGTACAGGAGCCCTTGTGATTTTGTAAGTCGTGTCATTGTATGGCACCACAGCAGGCTTCAAATTGTCTAATTTTCAGTTACCAGACAAATCTAATTTATATTTCCCTTACTATCCATGTGAACCCAGTGAGTGAAGCATCATTTCTTGCATTCATTTAATAATGTACTCATTTCATTGACTTACTAGGCAGCGATTGACACTGTTGCATTGTTGAAATTAAGTAATTGACCTGATCAGGTCCTCATAGCAGACCTTGCATAGATCCATGTAAGTTGCACTGAAATTTGCTCCATGGGCTCTTCTCATGTGTCTAGCAGAGAAATTAATGATAAAACAAGACAGGCTTCTTTGTGGTGGTGCCACAGTTACGGAACTCCCTTACAGTGGGTTTATACTTAGCCCTTTCATATTTATACATAGTCTGTTTAGAAGTACCTGAAAAATTATCTCTTCACTGATTTTTTAGAGTTTTCCTTTTCGCAATCATATGCCTACCTGATGTGCCTAAATTGTATCTGGCATAATTTGTTTTCTTGCATAATTTGTTTGTTTGGTGGGGTGGGTTTTTTGTTTTTGTTTTTTTGTATAATTTGTTTTTCTATTTTGAGTGTAGGCCTGGTCTTAAAAAGTGGCTTAGAAATGCATAAAATAATTTCAGTAGTACATCTGAAATGCCATCTTTCCAGTGAACCTTCAGCTTTTTCTGTTGTCCTTCCCTCTACCACTACAACTTCATAAGTAAATATAATAGTTTCTTTATTTTTGGGTCCTTTCCCCTTCCTGGTGCATGGCTTCTATGACCCATGCCACTAACTTAGTGTTTGCATCTCTTTGATGCTCTTTGAAAGCTTTTACTTCAGCCTCCTTAAGAAAATTATTTTTCTGCTCACTCTGATCTGTTCTTTGTAGGCATGCTTTGGTTTTTCTCTGACTTTCAGCATGTCTGCTGCAAAGTGTTTTTGCCTTCAGATTATGTGCTAAAAACCCAAAGGGTTCTTGAGATCTAAAACACTCTTTGTTGTAATTCTAAACAATACTTTAGTCTTGCGAATTTTTTGCTAACTCAAATGTGGGCAGTTTAGGTTGTTAATAGACTCTCTCTCTCTCTGTCTCTCTCTCTCTCTCATCTTTACCTGGCCTTGAAGACATATTTTGAGTGGTTACTATTAGAATTATTATTTGGAACAGAACATACAATTCCTTTTATATTCCAGTTGCTTTCTCCTAGATTCTGCTCTTTAAATCACATCATTTTATGAATTGCATCTTGAATAAGATATCTCTGCAGATGGAAAATATGGTGGTTGATGTGAAAGACTTAATCATGTACTATTACAGTCAATCAATACATTAACACAATCACATTTTTGTTTAAAAAATTAATTGTAATTGTTGTTTTTCAAGCATCACTAGTGTTCATCTAGATCTGACACTTACTTTTGTTTAGGATTAGGTCAGACTAGGGCCACATCCATTCTTCATGTTGCTAGCATAAAGCCAAGGCCTTTGTTTTAAGAGTTTTTCTTTTGGAAGAGTAGGTTTTGCAGAGATTGGTCCCAAACCAGAAGAAGCTAGTTGTGTTAAATACTGCTGAAACTATTGTGGCATTGGCCACTACTAAACTGTCTTATTGATTCCAGTGGGTCCTCGATATGACTAGTCTTTTTGAGGGAGAATTGAGAATTGGAGTTGTTATTTTCCCAAGTAGCCCGTCCATCTTCTCTTCCTCTTCGTATTTCTTAAAAAAACAACTCCTGTTATATACTGAGTGAATGGTGTTCTAATTTCTGGTTTTATGGCCGTAATTGTCCATACATGTATTTGCCTTAATTTTTTAAAAAACAGATAATGAGCAGTTCAAATTTTTGCATCCTAACTTTTGCAAGGACATTGATATGGCTTTAAAAAGATAATTTACCATACTTTTACAAATTGTATTTTCTCTTTACGTACAGTTTTTATATGTATAATCCTGTTTAACTTATATGTCATCTGCAAACATCCTTCTATACACACTAAGTGTATTTAATGAAAATTCAGATCTTTCAGTTCCAGCTCATTTTTTTTGTTCTTTTTCTTGTTTTACCTATGAATATACATTCTAAACTAGGCTGTAAATCTTTCTTCTTTTTCATGGAAAGTCACATTTCCATGGGAAATAAAGTGGCTTTTCTTTCCCACTGATGATATAATTTATGCATAGCCACTTTATGTCCATGTCCATGTTATACTATAAACATTTACATTAGTATATGGTACAAGCTGTTTTACCATATGGATATGCCAGCAACCAGAGCAAATGTTTGCTCATTATGCTTCATTAGCTGCCTTGACTGGTGAAGTCCTTTTCTCTGGAGCATCTTTCTGCTTCCTCTGATTGTCTGGAATGTTCTGCAGAATGGAAGAAAGTTGGGGTGCATAATGGTGGAAGATTATCCAATGGTAATTCATAGTCCCTCTTCTCTGACCCTGTTATTGGTACCGCATTGCTTTTTTCTTTATGGACTGTCCATTCTGGACTAGTGCCTAACCACTTTGCAAGTCAGGTATTGACACTCTGAGAAGAATAAGCACTCAAGTTCTCTTCTTCTATCTATTCTTTGCCTCCTTTTCCATGGTAGCTGATGCCACAACACTGATTTTGTTTCTTTCTGAAACTTTCCCATAGGATTGGAGTACAGAAGGGGTGCGAACTAATTTATTTGCTGGTGAGTAATTTCCCCTTCTAAACAGTGCAAACTCCTGGCATGGGTTACACATTATTAAAGAAATAATGTTTAACAATTTTCAAAATCAACTCTACTGCTACTGAATACATTGCCTGGCAATACAGATTTAGTACGTTATAGTAGGAAGAAAAGAACTCAGCCTCTTTGAATAAAGTAGGATTGATTCTTTGTCCCCACCAGCTGTAAATCATACCAACTGGTGAGCATAGGGGTTTATTAACACAGCACAGTTTCATGCCCACACTGAAAAAAGATGGCAGCATTACAAATACTAAAATGACTTGCACCATAGAGGTATGGAGTTGAAGAGTGGCCATATAATTTATAATGATACTTAAATGATAATGCCCAAGTGTGTTTCCATATGAGATAAAATCTCGGCATAAATAAAGAATTTCTGCAGCTTGATCCTCCACACTTTGACCTCACTGAACAAGCATTTGCTGCTTAGCAGCTGAAAAGTGCAAAAGTAGCACTGCTGCTTTCCCCCTGCCCATTATTGCTCCTGTCAAAACTACTACCTGTAACAAAGAAAAGGAATGCAGAAGAATCAAATTCTGTGGGTTCCTGCAGGGAATACATATGGTGACTATCTGGCATACATGCATAACCTGCAAGATTGGTTGCTCCCACAGAGAGAGAGAGAGAGAGAGAGAGAGAGAGAGAGAGAGTTTTTCTGGGAAATGAGGAGAGAAACAGTCAGCCTTGACTATCTGATACCCTTGGCCTTTGAAGCCCCCACATCATCTTCAAATATCACGTCACAATACCACACCACAATATTGTATTGTTACTGTTGAGACGTGTTAGCCATCTTGAGACCTATTTTGGTATAAACAGGATATAAATGTTTTAAATAAAATAAAAATAATAAACTAAACTAATAAAAATAATTAACTAATAAAATATCAGACTACTATGCCATAAGAGAAATAACTTTTTAAAAAGTTCTCTTAGTTTTAGAGAAACTAAGCGTGACAGGGATGTGGTCAGATATTTTAAAAAAACCCAAGTTTTCCAGAGTGCACAGTATTTCCCAACATAGTCATCACCTCTCAGTCTCTCTATCTCCCTCCCTGCCTCCTTCCCTCCCTGCTCTTTGTAGAGGCTTGTTAGAAAGATAAGTTAGGTGTTACCAGACATTTATTATTTTATTTATTTCATTTTTATGCTGCCCAATAGCCAAGGCTTTCTGGGCGGTTTACCAAGTTAAGAAAGAAAAGTTAAAACAGACAAGATAAAACCAACTCAAAACCACTTACCCGTGAAAGCAATTGCAATTGAATCAGCATAGATAGCAATGCTACAGATTAAAATGCGGTATTAAAAATGAGGTTAAAAACTAAACTGTTAAAATGCTGGGAGATAAAAAGGTCTTCCCTTAGTACCAAAAAGAATACAAAATAGGCATTAGGCACAGCTCTTTGAAGAGATCATTCCACAATTACGGTGCCACAACTGAAAAGGCCCTCCTCCTGGTAGCTACCCTCCTTTGGAAGGGGCTCCCAGGGAAGGATCCCCAAAGATTACTTCATGGTCCAGACAGGTACATATGGGAGGAGACAATTCTTTAGGTAACCTGGCTCCAAACTGTTTAGGGCTTTGAATGTTAATACCAGCACTCTGCATCATGCCTAGGCTTCAACTGGCAGTCAGTGTAGCTAGAAGAGGACTGCATAATTTGTTCTCATAAGCCAGTCCTCATTAACTGTTTAGCTGCCCTATTTTGGATCAGTTCAAGTTTCCAGACTGTTTTCAAAGTCAGCCAAATGTACAGCGCATTGCAGTAATCCAAGAAGAATTTACCTGAGCATTAATAGCTGTAGCAAGGTTCTCTCTGTCAGGGTAGGGATATATTTGGAAAATCAGCTTAAACTGATAAAAGGTGTTCCATGTCACCAAATCTACTTGTGCCTCAAGTGACAACTCTGGGTCCAAGAACACCCACAAACTATAGAACTTGTCCTTTAGGGGGAATGTAACCCCATTCAGTACAGGTTGAATATCACCCAACCAAATGCATGAGCCACCCACTAAGAGCAGCGCTGTCTTGTCTGCAATGAGTCTCAGTTTGTGGGCTCTCATCCAGTCTGTTACTTTGCTCTGACACTGATTCCAAGCAGCCACTGCCTCACCTGCACTTGATGAGAAAGAGAAGAGGAGCTGAGTATCACTTGTACATTGGTGGAACCACAACCCATACATCCTGATAACCTCCCGCAGCAGTTTCATGTAGATGTTAAATAGCATAGGGAACAAAGCCAAGCCTTGCAGCACCCCAGGACACAATGCCATGGCACAGAGCAACCTACCTGATGGCCGCTTATTCTCAGGCCTGATAGGCTGTATTATCAGATATAAATAGATCCATAAATATAAATCCTTTGTGTAACACTCATACCATCACTGTACTTTGATACTGTGTTTCAAGTTTTTGAGAGAGTTATGTACCTCTTTAGGAGTGCATGTTTTCAGTGTTCACAGTTAATACAACTGGATTTAAATCTAATCCAGGGGGTTAATTTGGGCTATCTGTCTTCATATAGCCAATGACAGAGTGGACCAGAGACTTTACTCAGATTACTGTTCATTCACAATCCTTTGAAGCATTATGGGATAGTTAGATTAGTTTTGTTGAAATGCACAATTGTTTCTGCAATTCTTTAGCCCAGAGCCGGGCCAGCAATAGGCTTGAGTGGGCCCTTGGCATAGTGCTACTGATGGGACCCTAGGTCTACCTGGATCCTCACCTCCCATCGCTCTGGTATTGCTGCTTGTATCTGCCACCACCGGGGGCCATAATCATGTTGCAGCAACCTCACCATCCTCTGGGTGGACAGATTGGCAGCAGCGCTGCAGTGGTTGCTTATTTCACTTTGGTGCTGGGTGACTGCCCTATTTATGCCCCACAGTGCAATGACTGATTCCTAGCCCATTGCAGTGCCATTATAATCTAGGCTTCCCTGGGAGGACTGGGTACCTGGCCACTGGGGTCAGCGCCTGCACTGGCCATACCAACACACTGGCCCTGGCGAAGTATTTCTTCTGTGACCATGTAACTGAGAACTGTAGTGGTCTGGTGCTTACAGTGCTGGCTGAAACCAGCGATCTCCATGTTCCAGTCCTCATTCAGCCAAGGAAGTCACTGGACAGTCACAGACTCTTATCCTGACCTACCCCCCAGAGTTATTGTGAGGATAAAAATGAAGTGGAGGTGAACAGTGTGAGACACAGTGGGCTGCTCATAAGAGGAGGGAAAGATATATATGCAAAATGATATTAATATCTTCTGTGTACTAAATGCTGGATGGTAGGATTATAGTCTCTAAACAGGGGTGAAGAAGTAAAATGCCATTATATTTTGTCATATTAGAAAATCAACATGTTTACATTTTGGCAGGATATGAAGGTGAGAATCTTCTGAAGATTTTAAAAGATATTGAAAACAGTACAGAAATCTTGTTGGACAGATGGAAATTTGAAGTCATACCCAACGATAAAGATGAGAAAGGAGATCCCGTGCCTTACAGCATCATCAATAATTACTTTTCAATTGGAGTGGTAAGATTTGTCCATATTTTTACATGATTTTTAAAAATATATTGTCCTAGAAAACTGCTCAGAGTTGATGTTAGGAGGAATGACTGAATGCAGATAATTCATGTTATATACATTTTTTTCTAGTAGAAGGGCTACACAGAAGAAACAATCTGCATAAATTTAGTTACATAGTCAAAATAGAATTATTTTCTCAAGCTCTTCCACCTGTTCATGCATGGGCAATATAATCACACTGTTCCTAATAGTTTATATGAAGAGCTGTAGCACTAAATTAGAGGTGCCTATACAAATATAAATGATGAATCATTCATTAACACTTCTTAACTGTCATGTTGGTAAATATTCAGTCTTTCAGAGGCACACTGCTGAAGAATGTTTCTTAAATATACTCTTTTTAATGGACAGAATTAGGCTGGCTTCCATATGTTTTTAATAAAGAACACACAATCTTCACATTATTTTGCACCTTTTACTGATCTTCCAGATGATGTAGAAACAAAATTGACAATGATAGCACTTGGGAATGGCCTTAGCTCAGCAGTAGAACATGCAACTTGCATTCCTAAGAGTACCAGATTCAATTTCTGGCATTTCCAGGCAGAGAGGAGAAAAAAATCCTGTCTGAAATGCTGGAATATTGCTGCCAAGTTGTGCAGATCAGGGGCAGGGAAACTCCTTCTTTCTCAGGGTAGAAAAGCTTTTGGTGGGACCAGAGATAACAGGGATGGGACCAAAATCCAACCATCATCCATCTCCTTACCTGATTGTAGTTTAAGCTGCTACTGCCTGTATCTAAACCTTTGCAGAGACATTTTAGGATAAAGAAGAAAGTGCAGAGTTCAGAAACCACCAAACAGCTGGTTGTTGGTGGAAGGGGCTGAGGTTAGGGAAAGGAAGCAAAGCAGTCTAGCAAAGCCCAGGAGCATTAATTTGGTCCCCTGGCCTGAGACCCCCACCCCTGGACATTGCTAAGAATTATCTTACTCAGTATAAGGCAACTGCCTGTATTCCTTCATAGTAGATGGATGAGGGAGATGAAGGTCACTTCTTTTGTTAGACCAGCCTTGATAAATGAAAGAATCTAGAAACCTTTAGCACAAAGTACTTGGCAGTTGCATAGAAGTGATGGCTAAATCAAAACTATTCAGAGGACTAAAGCACATGACTAGAGGGACTGACTTGTTTGATCCTCTCACTGATCCATCCAATCAAGATTCTACCTCTCTGTGGCCACCCAAGTGCAAGCAAAGTAATAACAACTCTCCCTCGATTGCCCCCAGAATTTGGTTGTCAGAAGTATTCTTCCTCTTAAGCACTATTGTTAGCTTTGATAGTTAACAGTCATGGATAGACCTATTCTTCATGATAGTTTTAATCTCTTTATATGCTTTTTTTAGCCAGTAGCTATCAGCATATTTTGTGGCAGTTCCTGAGACTGTCCTTGAAAAATGTTTGAAAGTTTCAGCTATTTTAGAATATGGTGGTGCTCTTTGTTAGCCTTTCATGTATCGCACCTGGTGCTCTGACATTTCCCCTGGCTCCCACTCTTATCCAGAAATAATTTACTGCATAGATTACACACTTTAAAACAGTAATAGAAATTAGACTTATTCCACAGGTATCTTGCTGGAAATTTTGGCATTCACTATTACACTGAATTTATATCCTGCCTTCTTTCCTTTTCTGAGGAACCCAAGGGAGCTCACACAACTCCATTTTATCCTCACAACAGCAACCCTGTGGACTGCCTGAAATCATTCTGTGAGCTTCATGCCCAAGTGGGATGAGAATCTGGATCTCCCAGGTCCCGAGCCCAACATTCTAACCACCACACCAGCTCTCCTATATGCACTCTTTTAATGATACCAACCGAGAGCCAGGTTCAGATAGCAAAAGCATGATAAGAATTCCCTAGTCATGGAATACCCTGCTTTGCAGGCTCACCAAGTCTGTGGACAGTGGGCTGCACTACTTTTCAAGCCAATGCTAATTATGAGTCAGCGTAAGAATCTTATGTTCAATTTATCTTTACCTAAGCATTTCCATGGCCCCTAAACTATGTCTGGGGGTGAGGGCTGCATAGGATAGTTTGGTTTCCTAGAGCTAAATGTTTGGAAATGGCACTCCAGCCTCAGAGTTCCAATTCCCTTCCCCAACTCCTCTGCAGCTAACCATAGAAAGAACTGTGCTGATGGCTCTGAAGTTGGGGAGACAAACTTGGAAATGGGGATAAGGGGGAGGACAGGAGACTGGAGAGGCCAGGATTCAAGCTATTCTGACAGCCATTCCGATTCTCCCCTGATGGTCCAGCTAGAATAAACCCACCTACCAAAAAATGCAGGGTCAGTTTTCTGCACCCCTGCTCCCACTTTGCACTGGATATCTATAAGCCTCCAAGCTTACAGGCATTACTATAGCATTGGGTCCTTCTTTTCATTTAAACCAGTGCAAAAACTATAAGATGGCACAACCGTAGTTACATTATAAGCAGAATAAAAAAGCATATCCATATCAGTGTTGACAATGACACAAAACAACATGCATTCCCAGCTTTGCTAGGTACAAGAGCTGCCATCTTACCCATGACCAATATATTATAGATTTTAGGTAGCTAGTTGCATAAAGGTATTTTGATGGAGTTTAGACTCAGAATTTGAGTCTAAATTCTTTTTTATCTTTCCCAAACATGACCTTGTATATAATGTGTGCCCTGCATTGATGCCCAGTAGAATCTAGCCATACAATTCTTCCTTCACCCCACCTTTTAAGATAAAACAGTTTCCAGAGCACATGGCTTAGGAATCACTCCCTATATGAAGTCATTTATAGCTATTTGTCCACATGTAACAGAGATACAGCAATTCTACCCATAAATGAAAAAAGGACTTTAGCTAATGTACGAAATGCAGTTTCTGTATTACCTTATGGAGCCATGTTTGCTAGCTCCACAACATGGCTCCATAAAGTAATGCATACATTCCTGGATTTATCCATCCTTCTGCTCCACAGAGATGAATATGACAATATTAATTGGTTGGCATGACTATATTCTGCAAGCACTGAGAAGGAAATACTGTGGCAACAATGTTAAAGGTATGTAAGATCTCTATGTTTGATCCACCAGTAGAAGTAATACAAAATAGAGGAATATCAAAATTATCCAGAAATGTTCTATAGTTTGCTTGAGAATATGCCTTAAATCTTAATGCTTTTATTAACCTGGTGCTTTCATAGTGAGAGAGAACCTAATCCATATGAGTACTTCTGATGAATAGAAACCAGCAAGTTTTCCCTTCAAAGTTATTATCACATGGTAGCAAAGGTCCATGACAGAGACAAGTATACTTTTACAACACCTAATATATTATCATCCAAATGCACTATCAAATAGAAATTTGCATGGTCATGATTTAATATCCTTCAACTCTAGCCACTCACTAAGAGCCTCTTATTCTGCCAGTAGGAAAAAATATGACTGCTTTGTACTCATAATCATAAATTTTGAAGTTGTTATGGGTCTAGCTCCCCATCATAGTTCTTCAAGTTTTTAACCCAGTGTTTAATTTCATATCCTCTCAGTATTCTTCCAGAATGAAAGAAGAATCTGAACTACAACTAAAATGTGGGAACACATTTTAGCCTTGTACTAGATAAGGATTTCCATTTATGTCCATATATATATACTACAAGCAATTAAAACAACAATGTAGAATTGAAGTTGAATTTATGTACATGATGTCAGTAAATCAATATGATAGCCAGTACAAACATGAAAGGAAAGACAAAGGATAAGAACCATGTTATGTACCAACTAGTCTTTTGAAATATTGAAAATGAGATTTCAAAGTATATTTAAATTGTGCAATTATATCAAAACATGTTCAAAACAGTAACATAAGTGCATACTACAATAGCACCACAACAATTTAAATAGAACAGGATAGAGATATTGCAGGTAAACACCACCAAGGCAACTATTACCTCCAGGATAAAAGTGAGGTAATAGTTGACTAGAAAACTGGGACTTGAGGTGATACAGATGGATGGAAAATTTGGTAAGATGCAGTAGTGACAGAGAAGAAGGTGGAGAAAAGAACAAACAAGGGCCAGATACTGGCACAACATGGTAGGACCAGAGTCAAAGGCAGGGTCATGGACAATTGAGGATCAAATATCAACAAGACATAGCAAGGCAAAAAATGAAGGCAGGGTCAGGTACAGTTCCGAACTGAGACACAAGTAAAAAAGTTGCCGACTGGAGACAGATAGCAGATGACAGACCCAAAGGGTCAAGTTGCTGCAGTCAAAGTGGGCAGGACTGAGAAGTCTTTTTATAGAGATAAAAAGACCCAGTGCCCAGCTGGTTTGAGCTTGTCCTAATTGTGCAGGGATGTGTAAGGTGCACCAGGATGCCTTCTGCATCAGGCCACCAGGGGAATCTGCATTTCTCTGCAGCTACTGTTGTTTTTCGTTAGTCACGAAGTCGTGTTCGACCCATCGCGACCCCATGGACCACATTCCTCCAGGCCTTCCTGTCCTCCACCATCCCCCGGAGTCCACTTAAGCTCACACCAACTGCTTCAGTGACTCCATCTAGCCACCTCATTCTCTGCCGCCCCCTCCTTCTTTTGCCATCTATTGTTCCCAGCATTAGGCACTTCTCCAGGGAGTCCTTCCTTCTCATTAGGTGGCCAAAGTATTTGAGTTCCATCTTCAGTATCTGTCCTTCTAAAGAGCAGTCAGGGTTGATCTCCTCTAGGACTGACCAGTTTGATCGCCTTGCAGTCCAAGGGACTCACAGGAGTCTCCTCCAGCACCACAATTCAAAGGCCTCAATCCGTTGGCGCTCAGCCTTCCGTATGGTCCAGCTTTCACAGCCATACATTTATTTATTTATTTAAAACATTTCTATGCCACCCCCATCACAACAAAGCCTCGGGGCGGCTCACAACAAAAACAAACAAAATCATACAAAAATTATACACTAAAAATATTAAACC